ACAAATATGACCAATTCTTTTGCTTGTGATGGGTGGAATGTATTCAGAAGAGGGTGGGTTAGTTTTACCATCTCACAAACATGCACAACGATAACAATTAATGGATCGCTCGAGCCAGGCGAGGCCGAGGTAGGCCCCTTTAAGCTTGCAGTGCAACCATGACTCGACACGGGAGAGTGGTTGCAAGCCTTGGGAAGAGACTAGGAGAGCGATACGGAGTTAGATGGGGATGTTTCTCATCATTCTGTCGCTCCAACTCCGAGGGTGACGCATAATATGATTTAGCCTATCGAAGATACGCCAAAAAGGGTGTGAATCAGGGTTGATAGAGTGCCAGACTTGAGCAACCATCACGGGAAACCTTTGTGGAAGTACCACATGAGATGTATGCCATAAAAACTAATACCATTGAATTCATATATGAAAGGAGTTTCTATGGTTTGATTTTCATAGCCACCATCATATTTGACTTTTTTAAATAGTGTGTTGCTTTTTTTAAACCGGTGTGAAATCTTTGCGACTTATGAAATTATCTGAAGTATGAAATAGATGATTGAATTTTGGGAGTTTTTTTTGTAACCTATTTTCTGAAACAGTGAAATATTTAAAAAATGAAAATGTAAAGACAATGAAATAAATTTATTTTCACGTAAAATTCTGTTTAAAACATTTTATATGGAACAATGTAATGATTTATTAATCATTTGAACTATAATTGGAAGAATAAAATGCAATCAATTCAAATATATCAGTGTTCCGAGGGTCTTCTCATTTTCTTAAAAAATAGATATTTGGTTTTAAAATAGCAACCATTCGAAATATAGTACTTGTAAAATTAAGTACTCACTCTGATCCAAATTAATTGTTGCTTACTAAAATAGTGACGATTAATTTGGCTTAGAGGGAGTACTTAGGACGTGCTCTGTTGCCTGCATATAGGCCAGCCAGACACGCGCGGGAAGAAAGTGGATTGTTTTGTTGCTTGCATTCAATGTTGGGCTTAAATTAGCTGCGAGCCAAACCCTCTAGAAACTGCCGAATCCGCAATTTCAGCGAGACATGCCGAGTTGAGCCACAACGAGCACACAAGCTAGTACAGGCCATGTACTTGGTTTGCCGTGTTACCCCATTAATCTTCTTTCTAATCTCCCTTCAAATCCACACAAGGATGCTTGGATTCGAGATAGGCTTTATACGAAAAGATGCACATCGATGTTATGGTTTCATTCGGATGATTTTTTTTTTTAGTTTCGTCCACCATAAATGTTTAATTTAATGTTCATGTTTGGGGTTATTTTGGACGAATTTGACACAGTCAACCGTTTGAAATTTCCTTTGACCAGTAGCTTCATCTCGCAATTTCAAACGACTTTTGTGTTACACATTTTCTGTTTTGATGATCGTAAATGAGTAGATCTACATATTACTCATGACTATACATATGTATGTGTGAGTTGTTTTAATGACAATCACTAATCTCCTACGAAGGCCCTTCTAATCGTTCTTCTCGACCCCCTCTCCCGCATCCTACTACACATGCGTCATCGCGCCGTCGTTCATCTCGGCCTCCTCTCACACGTCCTACTACACTGGAGTGGCCGTCTATGTCGTTCCCTTCGACCTTCTCTCCCACATCCTGCTACATGGCGCCATAGCCAGCGTTGTTCCTCTCGGCCTCCTCGCCCGTGTCCTACTACATTGTTGTCAGCGTCGTTCCTCTCGGCCTCCTCGCGTGCGTCCTACTACACTGTCGCCGACGTCGTTCCTTTCGGCCTCCTCTCCCGCATCCTACTACATTGACGCCACCATGGTTCCCACACTGCACTTCTCCTCCCCGTCCTCTGCCTCGGCGCACGTCCGCACAAACTTTCTCTGTGGCGACGAACGTTCGCCGTGACGCCGGCAGGAACGCTCTCCCTCGTGCTCGTCGTGTCGGACGCGGCGACACGGTCACCGTCCATCGCAATCGCGAGGCACTCCAGTGTAACTCCGTGTGTTAAGTGCAAGTGTTAACTATTAATCATATCCCGTGTATACAACCAAACACCATGTAGTTTCATTGGCCGAGCTAATGGAGGAGAAACTGCTCTCCTAATGGAGGCAATCTAGATGAGAGAAACCAAATGATGTGCAAATGGTGGTTTTTTGCTTTTTTTCTCAATCAGGCTCACCAGAGACACACATGCAATGCATGCAAAATCGACACGGGTAACCAAACGTGTCCTTATCTTTTGTACATGGAGAGAGAACGCATGCAACGATTCTTCTCTGCACTCTCTCTCCTGACAAAATGCCGACAACGCCTCACAAAAGTATTTGCATTCCTCTCTCCAAACTTGTGTGAAAATAGTTTTCAAATCTAACTTACGAAACTACCACGAATCTTGGTTTGCGTTTTTGTTTTTGATTTTTGATTGATTGAGGAGAATGGTCCTCTAGCGGATTTTGCTTCGAGTTATGGGATGTGATGGTCTAGAAGCTGAAAAACATGATGGTCCATAAAGTGGAAAAGCCCACTTACAATTTATCCACCTACATTGTTGCCGACCGTTTATAAGCTCCAGTTGTCCAACATGGGCAGTCACCCGCTCCATTCCCGCCACACCTCAAAGCCCTCTCAAATTCTAGAATATTTCAAGAGAACTCTCGCACCCGCTGCCCTCTCGCTCCTCTCCTTATGGCTGCGTCGGGGTCGCGGCGGGTTGCGAGCCCCAGAAGTAGTTCCTATCCATCATCCGCAATTTTGCCGCCGAGAAGTCCCACGACGGTAAGTGTCCCCTCCACGCGGCCTCGCCGCACCCACCCCATAGCATCATAGGGTCTTGACTTATGGGTCCTCCGCTAACGCAGGTGCTTCTCCGCTTAGAGTGTAGATCGCACGGTGTCGGGCCTAAAGCGCCGGCTCGATGATGTGGTCTCAGCGTCCAACGCGGCCACGACAGAGCTCGAGGCCGCGAAGCGCGTATGCGAGGCGGCGGAGACGGAGCTGCGCGGGAGTAAGGTGCAAGCTTCCATCGCAGATGCGTCGATTCAGGCGCTCGAGGTCTCCCCCATCTCTCTCACCCCGAAATGTGTGATTCATGTCTCCATTTAGTGCGAGTTCGCATGACTTGGTTCGACGTGTTGTCTTGGTGTGTTTAGGCGACGATCTCTCATCTTGAGGAAGAGATCGCGAAGCTGGGCTACGAGTTGGATACTTTTCTTCTTCCTATGTTTTCCACTAGCAATTATATGAAAAGATTGGGTATTATTATCCTCCTGAACCACCTATCAAACTTTAGCTCTAAGTGCCCATTTCATCCCTTCTTCTCTGAGAAGCTTTCGTAGCTTCTCTTCGGCTTCCGCTTAGCAATACGATCAATCATGTCTAGTATATTGACCTCGGCCTTTAAGTCTTTCTTTTTGCCAATTTGTAAATGCCACTTTCATTTTTTGTCCAATGCCGCAAGAAACTGTGGCATGTGTCTAATCTTATATTGTCATCTTTCAATATTCGATCGCCCCCTATTCTCTTTTGCCCATTCACTGGCTATCAAATCAAGAAAACCCTCCCTCTCGAACCACGACAATTCGAAGACAAGATGTTTTTTTGCCTACGTTGGTCGCATCCCCCGAGTCAACAAGGAGAGGAGTGCAATCAGAAAGAAGCTTATTTTCCCATTCCACACTAGTTAGAAGCCGATCCAATTTCTCATTTGTTGGATTCTCCAAATTGTTCAGCCAAGTGCATTACATGTCTGTGAGATCAATCTCTCTCAGGTCCAGTCTCTCAATGATAACGTTAAACATAAACAACCACCTCCTACAGTAGTTGGTAAGCCCAAACATTTATTATTTATGATCCCGGTCATAAAATCAAGTGTGGTGCATACCTGGTCTCTTGTACCCACATTTGTAAATATATTCTGTTTCTCAACACTTAATCTTCGTCCAGATGTCGCACAATA